CTTAAATAATTCCTAAAATTTCAAAAAAAAATCCTTATTACCTCTAATTAAAAAGTCCAAATAAGGCATTAAATGGGGAAAAAATCAAAATCCCATTATCTCTAGAGGGAGATGCTATTCATGTGTGATTTTGAAATTTTGAAAAAAAAATAAAAAAGGGTAGCCTTTTCAAAAATGCATGCCGACGGGAATTTATTAGGGATAACATGTGATGTTGCAGCTTTTATGAGTGGTTTATTAGTTGTTTATGTTGGATGTATCTGATCGGGGCCCACGTGGTGGGGAAGACCCCATTTTAAATGGTCAACTACTCTACTCTACAGTATACTAGACAGTCTACAGTAGAGTTTTGCAGATGCAACCATTAATAAAACTATAAAAGGGCAAAAGTCTATTTTGAGTCATTTATGCATGTATGTTTTAATCCATCATTTTATATTATAACACTTTCAATCCCTTATTTATTAAAATTAAATCAAATAATTTTTACTTATAATATTTTATTAGTTATGCTAACTAATTATTAATTATATTAGTTGACTGTTAACTCTATTAGTTGATTATTAACTGATTGATAGTTAGTATAACTTATTTTTAATTAATAAAATTAACCGTTAATTAATAAAAAAATTTTATTAATTAATTGTTAATTGATAAAAATTTATTTTTAGTTAACAGAGTTAATAGTAAATTAACAGAGTTAATAATCAATTAATAAAATTAATGAAATATTATAAAGTGAAGACTATTTTTTTTAATTTTAATAAGTAAAGAGTTAAAAATACCATAATATAAGTTGAGGGGATAAAACTCATAAGATAAAAAGATAAAAGTAAGTTTTTACCTAATAAAAGAATCTTCTACCTTTCTTATTTTTAATTTTATTTTTATTATTATTTTTAACTGGGAGAATTATGAGTTAGAAAGGGGGGAAATGGGGTTAAGGAAAATCAAACTTGGACGGGTGAAAATTCATACAATAATTATTTGAGTCACACAATAGAGTTCCTTCCACCCTAATTTCTGTTCAAGGAAGTTCCTAGAATTAATGTACTAATGTTGACTAAAAAATATTAATAAAGTTCTTTGAGAAAAAAGTAATAGACAGTCTATTGCATCTAGTATATACTTCTTTATATATGTATATATTTTTATATGAAGATAAATTCAATTATATATATTATATTTATATAAAATTTTAATTATTTACCTCTTTATTTTTAATAATTGAAATTTAATTATTATAAAAGCACTCATCTTTAATAAATATAAATAAAATTTAATTATTAAAAATAAAAAAATAAATATTTAAAATTTTATTTAAATGTAATATATAAAATTCATCTTTAAGTGAATTTTTACTATATATATTTAAGGACACCAATTTCTTTTCCAATAAACCTAATGACATACTCTTTTGTATTTAAAAAATAATAATTTATTTTAAGTATTGACTCTTAATTTTTTTTTTAATTATATAACGAAAAACAACACTTCCATCCTTTGACCCTTATATATAAGCCCACACTTTTTTAAAGCTAAATTTATTATATGCTTCTTAACAAATGAATGTCCACTTGGAAGGCTGTTTTTCTGGTTTAAGCTTGGGATAGATATAAGGGCCATAAAGCAAGTAGGCCGGTCCCAATTGGGCCTGCCTGAGACTGGCCCGAATCAAATCTGGTCCTGGGCGACAGCTTGTTGGTTTGTTCCATGCCATCGCTTTCTATAATGAGTTTGTGCACGTGGTGCTTTCAATTCAATGCAACGAACTACCAGACTACTCTAGAAAAGGAATAATCAAAACCATCGCTTTGTGAATGGAATATTTTTCCCCTTTGTACTGATTCTTTTTTTTATTTATAACTTTGGGTTTACTTTACAACATAATATTCCCCCCCACAATCTCATTGAAGTAAGTGCACGGTTGAAGTAACATAAATTATATTTTCAAATTAACTGATACATATAATATTAATAATATTAATATTATGAATTTAAAAAAATAAAAGATAAATTATTAAATAATATAAAATTTATTTTTTAATATTTTAAATAACATAATTTATATTCAAAATTTTAATTTCAAAATCTATGCAGCATTTTCTCGTAGCCACGCCTCTTTCAATAAAAGGTATCTGACCTCTCCTATAGGATTGGGTGGGACAAGATTCAAAATCATCTTGGTTTTACAGCAAATTTCATTTTTATCCTCTTCATTTCACGAATTAGTAAATTAAAAGCACTTTCTCAATTGCTTGAGAACCCTCTATTTCTCTATTTTATTTTAATTTGAGAATTTTAATTTGAAAATTTTAATTTTTAATTAATTGAATCACCTTCTTAAATACAAAAATTTTTATTATTAGTAGTAGTAAAATTTTTAAAATATTAATCTTTCACAAATTTTTATGTTTTAAACTAAATTTTTGAAATATTTAAGCTTTAAAATGACGTGAGAAATTAACAAGAAAAATCTGTCAAATAAAAATCGGTATTAAATTTAATTAAATGTTGTTTTGTGCCAAATTGAAGTTGAAGACATTTAAAGTACAAATCTCATTTTTCATTTGCAGGGACTTACATAAGAGACGGCTTAAATTTGAGGACCAAAGTGACAAGCGGAGAAAATTTGTGGATTGAAACGTGAATTTGACTTAAACAAACGGCGTCGTTTTTGTCCTCGAGGGATTAAAATCAGATTGCTCTCTTCTTCTTCTTCTTTCTCCAACCGCACGGCGGCCGTACTCCTCCGTGACTGAGCATAATCTTCCTGCCTCCTTAATCGGCGATTAGCAGTTCGTTTAATGTTTGTTCAAATAAAGAAAGGCGATCCTTTTGTCCTTTTGAAGTGCTTGGCTAGATCCCTTTTTCGTCCAAACCTGTTGTACGCTTGCCACCACGACAGAAAGTGGGCACAGATGCACAGTGG